CGTCTCGGGGGGGGGAGGTGGGGGTGGCCCCCTGCTGCACGGCTGTGTGGGGCCGGGGCAGGGTGGGGAGGAGAGTGAGTGGATGCCCAGAGGCTGCATCAGGCTGGCAGGAGGAAAGAGGGTGAGCCGTCAAGGCACAGGGAGGTCACCCGGCGGCTTCTCCCCTGCCCTGCAATAAATCGCTGATAAAAACCTTTTAAAAGTAGATCATGGGGCATTTATCCTGCAGCCACCATCCTCCAGCCCAGCTCAGGCAGAGGTGGGCATCCAGGACTGGGATGCTGAGCTTGCTCCCTCCCCTCCCCTCCCATACCCAGCCACAGGCTAAACTGGGGTGTCTCTGGTAGGAAACCGGCCTGCTGAGGGGCTGGGGTCGGAGCAACGTGGTATGATACGAATCGCCCTTAGCATGGAAGCACCGAGGTGCCTGCAGAGGTGCAAGGACCTCCATCCCGGAGCAAGGCAGACCGTCTTTGGAAAAGGCCCTGAGCAAGATGAAGGTGGAGCAGGGAGGGAGCTGGACCCCTCTACCATGAGAGCTTTGACTCCATGTGTCCTAGCTGCAGCTCCCTGTCTTCACACGTGCTGACGCAGCCATCGCTGAGGCCAGGCTGTGAACAGGTTTGGGGTTAAAAATAGTGCCATGCAAGGGAGAAAGGGATTATTCTGAATCTAGAGCAGTTCACTAAGCGGGCTCGCAGCATGGCTGCTGCGGGACATGTGCTGGTGTGCCGGGTGAGCTGGGGATTTTCTCCACGGGGGTCAGGACCTGCTTTGCAAGGCGTTCGTGGGGGCTGTCACTGCCCCTCTCGGGTGTGATGCTCTCACAGACAGGGTCAGCATGGGGGTTGATCCCTGAGCCTTCACTGTGTTGATATGGGTGGTGCTCATCACCCTGGAGCAGGGCAGGCTGACGTCCAGCCTCAGGCAGGTGGTCTTTCAGCCCCCCAAGCTGTGAAACCCACCCTGAACATCTGCAGTGCCCACCTGGAGGGGTTCGGGGACTCTGAACCAGCAGAGGACGCAGAGCAGTGGTGACTGCAGAGCACCAAGCCTAATTCTGCCCACTCGCACCTACGAAGCAGATGGCCGTTTTTATGGGAACCCCAAACCCCACCGGTGACCCCACCGAGTCACAACCCCTTCAGTGATCGAGGGCTGCAGTGCTGCCGGTGACCGTACCGCCCGGCATGTGGCAATGCGCTTCCCTTGACTTTTTGATCTGGGATAAGAGATAATTTGGGGATGGGGGGAATGGAAACTTCTTTATTCTGGGGCTGTCCTGGGCAAAGGGTGTCAGACGCCTTCCCACAGTTTAGGTGACACCACAAGTGTGACAGCCCTGGCTGCGTGGGTGCGAGCTTGTCACCATCACGTGTGGGCACATCCCACTCAGCTCCCGGGATGGCGGCAGGCTCTGCAGAAGGGTTAATGACTTAGGAGGGGCTGAACCATCCTGCCAGGAGGCTTTAACCCTTTCCAGGAGAAACCCTCTCCAGGGCCCCCTGGTCATGGAGGGGGTGGGAGGATGCCGAGCTCCATCCCTGACCCCTCCTTGTGCCTTTGGGCAACGGGTGCTAATTAGTGCCCTCCTGAAAAGGAGCAAATCTCAGCATCCATAGGTAGCTCATCACAGCAAGATTCCCTGTAGATACGTTAGGCGGGGAAATCTATTACTCTATAATTAAATGGAGGCAGAAATGATTGTTCTTTTTCTATTCCTTGTATGTTTCTAAGCGTGAAACTCAATTATAAGTGTATCCGCAGGAGGGGATTTGTCTACAAGGGGGAATCTCTGCTTGGCACGGAATTTTAAAAGCTGGAGCAAACACCTGGGCTGCTGTGGAGCACCCTCAAATTCCCAGGATTTGGGGGATTTGGGTGGGCACCCCTCTGCCCGCTGCCTCTTTGCTTGCCAACCTGCTTTGTCTGTCTCCCCCACACTCCCTGACGCAGGAGGAAGATGCAGAGGCCGGACTTAAAATAGAAAGCCATCCTCTGGATGACGGAGAAATGAGTGTTTGCTTGAGAGGGGCTCTGCTGGGATGCAGAGGCTGAGTTTGAGGAGGCTGAGGGGCTTCAGTGGGGCCTCAGGGGCCACCTGTGGGTGCTGGCAAGTGGGTGACCATCCCTACACAATGGCGGGATGCCGCCTCTCAAGCAGGGACACTAGGAGGGCATGTGGCTTTGGAGCTCCAGATAAGAAAAGCAATCAAAGGCAGCCTTAAATCTTCACTGTGTAATTGTGGGCTTAAATCATCAGTGGGATGAGAGGAGAGTGTTCCTGGCCGAGTGGGGAGGGGACGTAAATCCACCAGGCACCTTCTTAGCACCCCCAGTCTTGGGGCTGAGAGCACCTGGGGACTGGGGTGACACTAACCCCTGCCCAGGCAGTCCCGTCCTGCCCCTGGCATGGCTCTGTGGGGCAGCATGATGCCGGGAATAGAGTCATGTATGTACATACATACAGGGCGTGACGAGCGCTGGGTGTATACGTGCACGGAGAAAGAACATGTGTATATGTGGGTGGTGTGGGTATTCAGCGTGTATTTGTCCATGTATTGAGCATACACATTGTGTGTGCAGAGATACGGAGAACTTACATAAATTCTATGTGTGTGTATATATATATATATGTATGCGTTCTGACTGCATGTGTATGTGGTGTGTGAGCATTGGTATGTGTGTAGAGAGAGCGTGTATGTGCTGGGAGAAAATATCGCTTGTATTTTTCTATCTAGTGAATTTATAGAGAGTGTGTCTGCAGAGTATATAATACATTTGGTTTATTATATTTTCACACATATGCTGTATTTACGTATATTTATAGTGCGTGTATAGGCTGAGTACACACGCAATGTGTGTGCAGATTATTTGTGCACGTACATAGTGTGTATAAATAAAACGAGTGTGTACAACATGGATATATATAATGTGTATCTATATATATAGTATGTGTGCGAATTATATGTAATATGCACATGCATAAATACAGAAATATAACATATATCCTGTATGCGTGCATGGTGTATGGGTAGAAATATATATAGATGTATATTTTTAGTGTGTGCGTGCGTGCTTTGCCTGTGGCTGCGGCGATGTGTCTCTGCGCCGCCGCCCACCTCCTGGGGGTCCCCTCGGCCGTGCCGGGCTGTACCGGGCTGTACCGGGCTGTACCGGGCTGTACCGGGCAGAGCTTGGGGCCGCGGGGAGGGGGGGACGGGCACAACCTCGCCCCCATCAAACACAGACCCGGCTCCACTTTCAATCCCTTTTATTGACTCTTTCACAGACAGAAGCTCGTAGAAAGGCGCCCGCGGTTCTCGCCGGCCCCGGGGCTCCCGGGGAC